CACTATAAATTATAACTAAAATATCCATCAAAATTTGTAAATAAGTATACAAATCACGATAAAACAAACAACAACAACAAAAAAGAAAAACGAAATGAAAAACAAGGATCTAGATGGTACTTAAATTTTTGAAACTTCAATTTAAAAACAATTTTGTTAATGTTACAGTTGCTATGATAGTCTTTACAAAAAAATTTTTTCAGTTAAACTTTATGTTTTTTATTATTATTCAATTTAAATAGATAATAATAAAAATAAATTTTATAAATTCACTTTCCTTATATCCATTAATCACTTTATCTAATCCTGTTAAAATACATAATCTGTTCATGTTACATTAATAGGTAAAAGAAAGTTAATACTTATTAATAGGTGTAGATTTGCTAAAGTGATTGATATAAGATATAAGGTTATGCTAAAGTAAACTCTTCTAACTAATATGATATCAGTATATGATTTATTTCTTTTTTGTGCAATTTACATAAACACTTATTTCTTATGTTTAGAGCCATCAACAACTATTTTATAAAACTAAGTTTTGTCTTTAGAAGTAATTTATATGATTAGATCATTTTACCCATCAATATAAACCATACTTTCATCTAACACTTTATTCAGTAGACCATAATGATGTACGAATTATCTGTTGCTCGATTGAATGACATATTTCATTCCCCTCATCTCTGTAAAACTATTGGACTTTTATTAAGGTTTTTCTATTATATTCTTAGCTATTCTAAACTGTTTGAACTCCTTTAGAAGCAATCACTTTGAAACTTATAACTTCCTGGTTTACCTTTAAATCACTTTTTCTATGTTCATTGTTGACTAATTCTGAAAGATGATTCCGGGATTTTTAGTGAGAATTTGTGACTATCGCAGTTGTGCACAGATAACATTAAAGGTTGGTTGTGCAATATTACGAATTAATAGAGTTAGATATATAAACTATTTTTTGCTAGCTTAGTGATCTAAAGTTTAAACTTTCGCCTCGAAACAAGTGGGTCATAGATTCGATCCAGAGTAGGGTCATGGATGTTTATTGTTGAAAAATCTTATACTGAGGAGAAACAACCCTATAAACTACCCATTTTTCAATAGCTGTTTCATTAAGATCACTCTGGAATGTAGACTAGAAGGTTTCTTAATTAATCATCATCGACTTTATAACTAGTTCTAAATCTGTAAAGCTGCTAACTAGTTAAACTCCACCTAATAAATAAAAGTTTTTATCATTGGGTTTAAAATATGCATATTATTGTAAATCTAAAAGCTGATAAGCTAATTTAAAAATATAAAATTTCTCTGTTTACTTCAATTTTTTCCCGAACGGGAACTACTTATATTGTCCAACGAATTGATTTACAGAGTTCAATTCATTATCAAGCACATTGTGAGGTAGTTCAGTGCTAAAGACACATTATGATAACAAAGTTGTCAAATAGACATACAAATGTTAGAATAAGCTTTATCCACTAAAGCAAATTGAATCCATGCAAGCTAATAGAAAACATTACGTTTTCAAATTTTTAAGTTTAGCAGATGTGAAACATGATGGACCTAAAGAAAAGATATACAACAGATAAAAAAGCCATAACCTGTGGTGGGTGTGGTATTTGTATCAAATGATTATGTCTTTGTACTTCGAAGCGCGCTTATTACGAATCAACAATATAATATGCCCAGTTATGTTTATTTAGTTCGACCTTCCTTAAATTTCACTATCTTTGGAATTTCTAGCTACGCATTAATTCAAATACTTATAACCATCATACTAAACCTCATCTCGAAAAACAAGAAAGCAACAAAAGTATAAGCTTAAGGAAATAGGCAACTTGATAATACGTATTTCCCAAATTGAGAAACTGATTAGATAATAACATCATTTCGACTGGATGCATTGCTCTTGTTGTTTAACTTGTGGATCAAGTTACCAAATAACCGTGTGTTGTAGTATTGGATATTTTGAGTTAAGTTGAACAGCATTGAGCACCACCTCTTGAGTATACTGTGAATCAAAAACAAAGCCTGAATAAAGTTCAAAGTATCTGTTGAAATTCCTCATGAGAAATGAGTAGTCTGCAGTAGCTTAAAATATTATTGGTGGAATAATGTAGTTTATGCTAGCTCTCCTTAATCAGCAGTTTCAATCGATATGCAACGAAAATTAGCAAAGAACGCATTTACAATCTTGGTAACGGTACTTATAGTTAACATAGCCTTCCAGCATCGTGCCAAATTCCGGACCCTAAATGGTTTCTACTGGTAATATAGAAGTTCTTATGTATGTATGGGATTTTATAATTGAGCTTCAATCACCCCCCTGAAAAAGAGTCATTTAAAACAAGGCAGATGCCCTAGAAATGATTCATCACAGCAAATCAATTGTTATCATCGGAAATATGTTGAATTTTCCATAAAAATTGGAGGATGAAGTTAAATTTACATGACTCTAAGTCGCAATGTATGTGTTAAATGATAAATGAAGAGTAAATGTTCATCGTTTATTGAAGATGCGAATCATAAATTATCCGTCTTATACATATTTCTGGAGGTGGAAAACTACGAAACACGTTGCTTGGAGTTCTCTAATAAATATGATGCATATAAGTTTTGTTTCTTCTGACCGTCATGAAATAATCCTGTCTATCACTTATTACAAAAGTGGTTGATGATTCGTATGCAGGTACACTGATACTAGGGTGTTTCTAACCCATAGTGTTATAGTATTATTGTAATCTTGATTTTTTAAACCCCTCTTATCAGAAGAAATATCATACTTGTCAAAGTTTTATGACTGTCTTTTTCATAATCAGATATACTAGGTCTATCACTTTATCAGCAGTACAATGAAGAACACGCAAACCAAGACCCTAGTACATGACGCTGGTAAGACAGTCCAACATTTGAGCTTCACTTATCTGACATCGATGTTTCCAATCAAATTAGTATGTATTTTTATCTGAAAAGGGCTGCTTAACCACTTATCGTAATTATTAATGTGATACTGGAAGACCAAACACACATTTTTGCAAATTGCCACTCATTGCATTAACTTCCAAATGGTGCATAAGATGGATTTTACATAGTTCACCGTGAACGTAGTTACTATACCAACGATGAGAAATGGAACTAAATAAGACACCAGAACCGGTCTGCCTAAAGCTATTTACTCAAAAGGCAATCCCATATCTGTCAACTCTCTCATTAAATAATCTAACTAAGGAATTCTCACAACTACAATGTGTAGCGGTTCTATAAGTTTTTGACATTTGATGCTGACCTCATTAGTCGTACTAAATTTACATAGCTGGAAGAAACTCGGTCATGTATTCATACCAATTCACGTTCTGCTACGCCGTAAGCCAGTTCATATCAAAAGCTTCTTGCGATATCGACAGTCTTTCAAGTATAAATTCGAACCTCCTCACGTTTGACTTCCGACTGGACTAGGTTGGCATACTTCTGTTATAAATATGTCACATAAGAAGGTGTATTCAACTCCTATCATTAACGACCAGAACAAAACTTCACCAGTATTTGATAACCGATGCAAACCGATGCACTTTGGAACAGCTATGGGCGTCCTAGAATATCAGAATTGCTACCATATGTTGAACATTTTCTCAGATTTTCCCCTATCACCTTGTTTCCCTAGTTCTACGTCAAGTTGCCTTCATTTACCGTTTTCATTGCGCCATTGACAAACAAATCAAAGAACTTGACGTATTTATCTCTTTTTACCTTGAAACCACCATTTTGTGAGCAATTTTTCCAGTGTCTCAATGTTCATTCAGTTTTTTTCCACGGTTTACTAGTGTGCGCAAAAACAAGTATTTTTTGGCAAGTACTTACATTTTCACGTATACGAATATTTCTGTAAGTCTTCGACATTAATGTTGACTTATAAGACTTACTGGACACACCCTATGCAAGGGTGCTCGACTAAGCCTCCATATCAGATCACGAATGAGTACTCCATGGTGCACAGCATTCAAGGTAACTAGTCAGCTAGGATAATGAGCGTCTCGACGTAATGACCATTATCCAAATATTTCTTCTGACCTCTTTGTTCTCGGTTTCTAGTTTGACTGGATTTGAGATATCTGGATATAAACAAGCCACGGAAAACAGAGTTTTCGAACACTTAACATCCGCGATATCTTTAATAGTTTTATGGAAGGTTATATTTAGTACGCACCCTAACTTCAGACCAAACTGACAAATACATGAGTACCAAACCTAAAGGGAGTGTTCGAAATCTTCCGAATGAATCTATGAACAGACAAGTACTACTTGAAAATATACAATTGTAAAAAAGTCGAATGGAATGTTCAAAGGAGCTTTAAATAAGATTGCTACAAGTAAGAAGATTACGGTTGTCTTCTTAAGAATGTTTTGACAACTCATGGATTTTATTGTGGTTCTTCATCAGCCTAAAGGACACTAACTCACTTGAGCGTTTCCAGCGTGTGGGAACAAAATTAGTAAAGGGTCTTTCTAAACTTCATAACGATGAGAGTTTAAAACGCCTAAACCTTTTCCCGCTGTTGTATCATAGGACGTGAAATGACATTATACTGGCATTTTGTACCTTTAATTATGATTTGGGTGTTAATATGTCTTATATTTTTACTCCCTTCAAAACTAATAACCTCCGGAGCCATAGCAAGAAGGTTCATAAACCGCGATCCAATAAACTTAAAGTGGGGTCCCGTTTTTCTCATCGAGTAGTCAATGATTGGAACGCCATACCAAAACAAGTGGTATCAGCCCCATCAGTGAATATTTTCAAGCAGAAGCTGGACCTTCATTGGAAGGCAAGCTGTCAGGACTAATACAGGTTCACCAACCTACTATCTTTATTACTGAAGACTGAAGACCAATCTTTTGAATTGTCGTCAAATGTTACAAACTACCATGGATACACACTATGTTAAATATAAAACATTTCCCTGTGACTCAACTCTTTTTATATTGCTTATTGATAGTGATGGAAGATGGTTCGTATCTCATTACTCAAAGAAGCACAGTCTGCGCATTTTCTTTGTTTCTTCCAGTGGCTTTCAAAGTTGTGGGTTGCAGCCATCCCGGTAAATTTAACCCACCGTCTGTTATTTGTAATAAGATTCCAGAAATTGTTTAGGGATTCTATAAAAGACTGTTTTCATATAGTTCACATCTTACAAAACTTTTTACTTGAGCTTTTTGTTTATTTTCAGTGGTCTTTTGCGCAGTAATCTTATTCATAATGTTGAGATAGTAAGTTTTTCAAGTCGTTCTGCAATTCGTGTAAGTAGAACTTCAGCTTCCATTGTGGTAATTTATCTTCTGTCCACCAGATACAAGAGTAACTGATCTGAAAATATAACTGCCGGTTAACACGACCTCTATATTTTGAGGAAATCCCGAAATTTTTAGGGTTTTGTGCCATTTCCCCAAAATTTTCCATTGCGGCTCCTCCAAAACGGATAGAATTTCCGCAAAAATAGGGAGCCTTAGAAGTACCAGGTCCCGACCACATTGGTCCACTCGTAAATTTGTCCACTAAATGGGTCTATTATTTTTCTATCTGAATGCTTTGATCATACAGTCTTGCGACTTGTTGCAGAACTGTTGGATGCATTTGTTCAACTTCTGTGTTTCTCGCGATATAAGTTTTCTGAGTTTAAACCTCAGAAAATCGGTTGCATTGGCAACTAATATATTTACAGGGGAAATGTTGCAGGTCGGATCATAGTAAATCCCTATTTGTCGTAGAACCCACAAATTTTAAAAGAATGTGACCATTGCCATATGTTGCTGCTAACCCACGGGAAGATATAGAAGTTTACGACCACTGAAAAAACCATGTCAATTCTTCTTTCATTCCGTTGCTAAACAGTAGCTTGGTGGGTAAACTATTAGGCTTTGATCCGTAGACCTCTTGTTCAAACCTTCGTCTCTGCTTTGCTACCAACACAAAATCAGTACTACTAACCCTCACACATTGACCCTAAACAAGGACATAAACCCGAATGCCACTCTTAAGTGAGCTTAAATTTTACCAGTTAGAGATTCTTCTTCAGTAAAGGGTTTTTTACAAAACCCCGTCACCACAATGCCTGGCAGTCCATTTTGGCTACTATTCATGCTTTTAAGTCGCTTATGATCTGCTCAGTTTTACTGGTATGCTAATAAACACTAAGCTATTCAAACCGAAGTCAGGTTGGTCGCATCAGTTTCTATATAATTAAAATACTGCAAATTTATTTTGTATGTACTTTTACAATCATTAATCCCACTAGTCAGTAAAAATTATTTCGCCTCCATGCTTCGGGCATCGCTTCTATAAGTTTAACTAGTAGTCTTAAACCGTAATATATATAATAAAATCTATAGACCGCCTGTCAGTAGATTTTATTTTTCTCTGTTTCAAGTTGGCCGTTGTCATAATAGTTTCTGAATTTATGGTCCATATCATTTGCTTTAACCATGCCAAATGCCCTGGTACGGCCGAGAGTGGGGAAAGTCTTCTCATCCTCTCGAAATGCTTTCACATGGCCACGCGTATATAGCCTCGGCCAGGGAAGCCTACCCACTGCCTTCTCGTGGCGGGGGTGTTGTTTACTCAATTAAGAGGACAAAAAGCGAATGTCAGGCGCTTGAACCGGGTTGGTGGACATGGAAAGTCCACCTACGGGGGTTGGAAAACCCTGATTTTAAACCAGTGGTGCATATGGGCTCCAGTATCCTGAGGAAACAAATGGCGTATGAACCTATTGTTGGTCGCCGACTACCATGGTAGTGCATCTCCTGGTGTTGCTCCACTGCCTTGTGGATCAGACCTTTAGGCCGAAGGCTCCGGGTGTGGCCCCCTAAGAAAACCACTTTCTTCGGTTTGGGCACCCGGGCAGTATCACATCCCTCGCACAAACCAAATGAGATTTGTGTGGCGCATATGTATATGTGTTCAAATAATAATAATAACTGCGTAGTCGGTAATAAACTCAATTGAGCCTAATCCATGATTCTTCTTCGAGTAGTAGTTACCAGAGTTCCATCATGTTAATGTTCAATCGCGTTAGTTGCAGCTTTTATTCTACTAAAGACTAACAACTACATTTCGGGGTTCCTCACGTTGTTGCTAGATAATAAAAAATATCTGTATTTCAACTCAATATGTCTCTAGCGTCCCAGTTGATATCCTATCTGACCAATATTCCTCACTAGCCATCCTGTAATCAGTGTGTTGTTTTTAAAGAAGCGAAACATTTATCAGCGTCTAATTAATCATCATCCTTCCACTTTTCGCTTTCACCATTTGCTTTTGGTTTTACTAATTCCTGTAGCGAATTTCTTGCACCAATTATTTCTTACCATCTTGCCAATAACCAACCTCACAGTGTTGTCGTACAGCAGTTAGTTCAGGCAAATATTTTAATACTTCATCTATATTTCACTGCATGATATTCGTAATACCAAAGTATTAAGGAACGGAGATTTTCACCGCGAAGTTGTAATGACCGAGCTAGTCCTCTCCTTAAATACATACTTGACATCTAAAAACTGGGTCAAATCCATAACTTCAGGACTATAAAAGTAGATAATAAAGTCTCATCCCGTTTGTGAAAAACACTAAATATCGAAATGTAATCGTAACGTGACTATGTAGTATTTTAACTTCAGTTTCTTTTATTTACCTAGCTGATGGATGAAGAACTCAATGATTCTGATATATCACTAGATGATTCAGTACATTCAGGTGAAAACGATGAACTTGTGAATTTGTTAGATGTCCCATATACCACTACCGAGTCGCGTGAAGAGGATTCACTAGAGTATGAGGTAAATGTAAAAGACTTGATTGCTTCCATTAAAATCTTAGTATTATATTTGTTCAAACATAAAGTGCTGGTACAAATTGAAACAAAATGAAACAAATTACCTAATGAGATCATCTTATTCTTGATAGTAATAACCTTAGGTGGTACACATGTATCGTTCTAAGTTAATACACTTTACATCAGCACAGTGATATGGAATCGACAAATTAGAAAGCAAACGATTGAAAACATCATATTCAACAGTAGTGAGAGACAAACCCAAAAAATGTCGTCTATGAACAACAAATGAATTTGGAAAATAAAAGGTATGGAATAATGCCAAGCCCAAGATTCAGAGGAAGATAATGGGTCATTGTACATGTTTCCCTAAGACTGATTTTAGACAACTACAGTATTCGACCACAGATTACGGTTATCTCGTGAATGATGATCAGCAAATCCGTACGTTACTAGACATCAGAGACCAAAAGTTGTATATGTACTTTGTTCACATGAACCAAGTTATCTTGACAATCAGTATTCCTCGAATAAAGTAGTAAATGTTTTTAAGCTTGATACACTTCAACGGTGCCAATTTCGTAGATGTCCTTTCTTTTAAAAAGATGAATTATGCATACCTTTAGCCGTTTCATTCGTTGCAAATATTACTAGAGTTTACTGTCATTTTACTAATCCTATCCAACTAGATATTACATCCCAACCAATTATCACAGTTGATGTCTGATATTACCAAAGAAGTTGAACAAATAATTCAGATTCCTCCAACTTATTTACGACTATTACTTGCTCATTTTAAATGGGATAAAGATGCATTGATGGAATTTTATTTTGAACATGGAAAAGCAGATACATTTGCTCAAACAGGTATTGTAGACCCTATGGATATCCCAGGTAAGATGTAACTACTCAATTTTGATATGACATTCTAATATGCCCTATCGTCATTATGCTAAAAACTCTGTAGTCCGGTGGCTAAGTGATTAAAGTACATGACCTCCGATCACAGGTTGACATGTTCAAACCCTGATGACGTGCATTTGATTTACGTTTCGATAGCTATTAAAATATTTGAATGATTTAATTTCTTAACTAAATGTCCGGGCAGAAAACAAAATGGCCAAGTTAGAAAGCACGATTTACTTCCGCTGAATTATCATATTTATTGTTACATTGTGACATCTATTTGTTCATCTGTATCCGAGTACACAACACATTGGTGAACTGTTTTATGATTTTGAGGCATGACTGTTAAAGTCATTTTAAAATTATAACAGCCTTATTAAGCTATCACTAACCATAGTAAGATTCATGAGCATAGATAGTACCATCAAACATGAATAGAGTATATGTTCTTTCCCCTTTGATCACAAATAAACTATTGAAATATACCATAAATCCTTAGTTTTATAACCATTCATTCCCTTTAGACTGTATATATCATAATCATACAATAACATACCCATTTGTTGCCATAAAATTTATCTCATGTTAGGTAATATAAAACAGGTGGTGTGGATAACTTAATCATTGGGAGAGAGAAATCCAGTGATTTTCAAATAAACTGTTTTATTGAGGGTTATCTAGTCATTGGTTTTATTGATCCTAAAAACTATATACTGTTCTAATATCTAAAGTAGAACAGGTATTCTGTACTTCAGTGACTTTATTGTAGTTTTGTTCTGTCTATTATAATAGTATTTGATGAGGACTATCTGTAAGATTCAAGACAAGTGTTACATCTTATTTAAAACTTATCAGCTAGATGTTTTATTTATTTATTTGAACACATAAATATTGGTACAGGGGGGCACCAAATATATATGCGCCACACAAAACAATGATAATTTGAAGAGAAGGAGGAAAAAATATTAAAAAAAGTAATGAACGTGGGGAATTATAAAAAATAGAGAGAGAGAACAATGATGGGGAAAACGGAAAGGTACAATGAGAAGAAATCTTTCAGTTAAGGAAGATACAACCACTTTTTATGAAGAAAGTAAAAGAAGGTTACAGCAGGATCGCCATTGGCTTCTATTCTGAGCCATATCTGATAACGTCTCTAGCCACTGCGTTACACCGTCTCTCGGACCCCAACCAGGGAGTCGTGAAGGACCAACAGAAGCCAGCCCTTTGCAGCTTTCTTTCATACCGCGACACCATGTCATACACTGACCACCTCTCCGCTTTTTCCAACCAGTCCCAGAGTCGGCAAATAATGCACGACGAGGAATTCTCTGGGACGACATTCGTAGAACATGTCCAAGCCACCAAAGTATGTGTTTCAAGATGGTGACACCAATGGAATTATCGTCTCTGTGACCGAACACACGATGTCGGACCTCTGCATTACTGACATTGTGTTGCCACTGGATGCCAGCAATCCTTCGGAGACAACGATGATCGAACACAGAGAGTCGTCTAACATCCTCAACTCGGAGAGGCCAGGTTTCACAAGCATAGAGCAAAACTGCTCTCACCGACGCGTTGTAGACCCGACCTTTTGCAACCAGACTAACATCATGAAGGCGCCAAAGGTGGCCCTGATTGGCATAAGCCGCTCTGGCTTTCACTATACGTGCATTGATCTCATCACTCACGCCACCACCAGCACTTATGCAGCTACCTAGATACACGAACTTGTTGACCACTTCTATCTGCTCACCGTGCAGAGTGAGTACAGGATTAGAATCCTGCCAGTCTTGTAGGAGTACTTTGCACTTCGAAGGTGCGAAGCACATACCATACCTACGGACATTGGTTGCCAACTGATTAAGTGCGGATTGCATGGCTTGAACATTCTCGCACAGTAAGACAATATCATCCGCATACTCAAGGTCGAGAACAGATACTACACATGATCTTAGCTCAGCACGGATTCGAAAAGCTCGCTTGGCCTTTGCCAACTTACGTCATCTATGGCGAAGGCGAGATATCCGTCTATCAATTAAGGGACGAGTATACTGCGCGGCAGTTCGTTCCGTCCTTCTATACGGCTGCGAAACATGGCCTTTAAGAGTGGAAGACATTCGTAAGTTACTAGTATTTGACCACAGGTGCCTTAGAAATATTGCTCGCATCTGCTGGGACCACCGGCTAAGTAATAGTGAGGTTAGACTCAGGGTATTAAGGAATGATGGCAAATCAGTTGATGAGGTTATGAATCATCATAGACTGAGATGGTTGGGCCACGTGTTGCGTATGCCTGAACACCGATTACCACGACGCGCAATGCTAACCGGTGTTAGCGATAATTGGATGAAAGTTGGGGGTGGCCAAATAAAAACGTGGCATCAGTGCTTGAAGTCACTAACTTCTGATCTGAGCCATGTTGGTAGATGCAGACTACTTGGTTGGGGTTCGCGTGACTATCGTAACCAATGGTTGGAGACTCTTGGTGACATGGCTCAGAATCGATCACAATGGCGTTGGTGTATACACTCTCTGTCTTCCCTTAATCTGTGAGATTAAAATCGCTTCATATCTGTCTAGGAACTAGTTCTTTCTTCCTTTACTATCTCCTTATATGCGATCTTTCTTCTATATATTACCACCACTGAATTAACTACTATGAATCCGGTGTTCATCTTGTTGTGCTAATGCGGTATGGCAACTTGGACCGATGCATATACGTGCCTGGTCCTACGTTGCAGCTGACTGACTGACTGACAAGGTCGAGAAGTCTTTCTCCAGGCAACAGATCCACACCACCATTACTTACATCCATCAGAGCTGTTTCCAGAATGTCATCGATGGCAAAGTTGAAGAGGAATGGTGAAATTGGGCAACCCTGCCTAACTCCACTGCTTGAATGGGATAGTGGAGAAAGGTGGTTGTATGCCCTCACTCTGCCTGAGGTGTTTGTGTATAGGGCTTTTAGGATGTTAATAAACTTCTCAGGCACACCCTTCTTCAATAGACAATCCCAGAGAACAGTTCTGTCCAACGAATCGAAGGCAGCCCTGATGTCAAGAAACACTACTATTGTTGGCCTTTGATAAGTATGGCAGTGTTCTAACATTTGGCGGAGGGTGAAGATATGATCAATACATCCTCGACCAGAACAAAACCCAGCCTGCTCCTCGCGAGTCAATATCTCTCGGGTTTTGAACAACCTACGAAGTATAACGGAAGCCAATAGCTTGGACGCAATCGGAAGTAGACTTATCCCCCGATAGTTGTTACAGGAACGACGTGAACCCTTTCTAAAGATAGGGACAACTATCGACTCATTCCATGACGTTGGTACACTCTCTAGTTCCCAGACCTTTGTAAACAACGTCGTCAGTCCCTTAGTCAGAAAGTCACCACCATCTTTAAAAAGAGCCGGAGGTAAGTCGTCTGGGCCCGGTGATTTGTAACGTTTCAAGAGTTGGAGTTCCTTGCGGACTTCCGCCTCATTTGGTGGATCAGTCGTCACCGGCCATGGAGGGCAGGACAGTCTGACCGATGTTACCGGAGCAGCAGGCCAGTTGAACTGCCCTTCGAAGAATTCTGCACATCGTCCAAGACGTCGATGGATGTTAATGATTGGCATCCCGTCATCCTTGCTGATTGTTTCGCTAACTCCAAACTTCCTGTTGCCAGTGTCTCGGATGAGTTGGAAGAGCTCCCGGTAGTTACCAGATGCAGCTACTGCTTCCAGCTCATTAGCACGCTCCGACCACCAGGCTTCTCGGTCCTTACGCAAGCTTTGCCCGTCTTCATTACGTAACATCCTTCGTCTGTGGTCAAACTCACGGTCACCCAGAGTAGACCGACGGGCTTCAATGAGTTGTAAGGAACCAGAAGAAACCCTGTGCTTATAAGCGGGACGTTTCGCGAACGCACAACTGACTTTACCCGCCATTTTCATGGCGTCATGCAATTGCGACCAATACTCATCTATACTTTTCGGTAGAATGATAGCTAGCCTAGAAGCTAGCTCGGTTCGATACTTACTAGCAACAGAAGTTGCAACCAGCTTGCTAATATCAATCCTTTGGTGGCGGTCACTTCGTTGTCCACTGAAAAGTAAGGTAAGGTATGCGCAGACCAGGGCATGATCAGATTCCAGATAGGTACTCCAAAAGGAGCGGCAGTCTTGTACACAACCACGCCAGCGGTAGTTGATCGCGATGTGATCAATCTGAGTCCAGGCTTGAGATGCAGAGGGAGGACGCCAGGTGGCACATCGGCGATGACTGTGCCGAAAGTTAGTGCTAGCCAGAAATAGGTTGTGGTCTGTGCATAGTTGCAGTAGACGTTCCCCGTTATCTGTCCTGTGACCAACAAGTCCCCATCGGCCACCTAAACGACTCTTTTCTGTGCCTAGACGCCCGACCAGATCATTCAAATCTCCTCCTAGTACTACAATATCTGTCGAACGCACTTTCTGGAGAAGAACAAATAACTGGTGGTAGAATTCATCCTTGATTGCATCCGGGCTGCAATCTGTCGGGGCATAGGCGGAGATGACGAAAAGACATCGTTTCTCACTCCGATTTCTTCTCACTTTGGTGGAACTTTCTAATCTAACAGCATATAATCGACTGTTAATGGGGATCCAATCGATCAGTGCTGCCTCAGCTCTAGCGCTTAGTGCGACACCAACGCCAGCAAGACCAGACGAAGATGCCACAGGGTCCCCGGATAAACGAACGACAGATGGAGAGCGAATCTGTAGTACTTCACCAGTCTTGAATACGGATCTCGGATAGACAACAAACGTCAATATTAAGACTTTCCAAGGACATAGCCTGCCCTATCTGTTGTCCGACCTGCATAGGTGTGCGAACGTTAAAGGCAGCCAGTTTGAATGGTGCAAGTGGTTTCAGAAAAACTGCTTCAGTACTCGTATTCGATGGTAACATACAATTTTCAACCAGGCAGTGACTCGAGAACGTCTAGATAGAGCCGAATATCCACCATAGGTGAGCTGCTGTGTAAGTCGAAAAATAAGGATAGACAGAGTGGGAATAAAAGAGAGTGAATAAATGACGTGGTAAGTAATAATAATAATAATAATAATAATAATAATAATAATAATAATAATAATAATAATAATGTGAATTGTTTGACAGTAAATCGCAGCGAGAATAGAGTTTTCAGTGAATATCATCATTTTCATTATCATTATATTTGTGTGTAGGCTGAGATACTTCCCGGGTGCCCAGACTGAAGCAGGTGGTTGTCTTAGGGGGCCACACCCCGAGCCTTCGACCTAAAGGTCTAACCCACAAGGCAGTGGAGCATCGTGAGGAGATGCAGTCCCATGGAAGCCGGTGACCAAGAAATTGGTTCATACGCCATTTGTTCCCTCAGGATACTGGAGCCTATGTGCACCATTGATTTGGGATCCGGTTATAGCGCCGGACATTCGCTTTTCTTCCTCTCATTTTCGTAAACAACACCCCCGTCACGAGAAGGCAGCGAGTAGGACTTCCCTGGCAGATTCTATATACGCGTGGCCGTGTAAGAGTATTTCGAGAGGGAGGGCGAATTTACTCCACTCTCAGCCATACCAGGGCATTTGGGAGCCACTGCGTTAGTCCATGAAGTCACAGACTGTTCATATGAGTCATGGTAGATTCGGACTACTTGATTGTTTGCTTAATAACGGCGACTAGTTGTTCGAGACTTTAAGTGACATGTCCCAGAAACGTTTATATTAGTGTAGATGCATTCTCTCTTTATCTTCTTGATAGTGAATTCCAGTCTTTCTTCACACATACTTTTCCACTGTTCAAACCATATTTCTAAGGTTTAGTCCTTTTTATCACTACTAATGTTTTGTGGCAACTTGGGTCAACGCATATCTGTACCAGGCCAGGCTCTATATTGTTACTGCTTGTCTAACTGTCCGTTTGGTGCTGGTTATGTAATCTATATTTAATAAAAATGTTCTTAACTGTATTATCACTTGAAATCGTAGGAAAAACATTTTATTCAGATTTGTGGCATATGCTATCTTTATAAATTCTATTTTTAGTGACAGGATCAAGGAATTTGTGTGAAAAGAAAAATGAAATCGTTTGTGATATATGTTTTCTACCAACTACTCCAAGTAAGATTTTTCATTATCAATGTGAAATATTGAGAGCTTATGCGCTAACCGTCGATGTAACCATTTATCTTTTTGTTCATCTGGAATTTTACATGTCTGATAACTTGTGAAGAGAGCTGTAATATGTTATGCAATTTTGTTCGGTTATTATATATATATATATATATATATATATATATATATATATATATATATATATATATATATATATATATTCGCCATCATATTACCCTATATCTAATATCAAATATTTTAAGCTAATTGTCAGAAGATTCTAGACCCGTGTTTCTTGCTAGTGTGGACTAAGTTTTACAGGCATCTATAAACCATGTAGATGCTTGTGTTTTACCTAAGGGTGGGACATATCCAATCAGAAATGTTTTATGTTTAAACTACTTTTTCACAATTGATTGATCACTAGGTGACCAATGTCATGCGTATCTAGTCCTTATTATTAGTGCTGATCGAATGCTGTCGATCATGTTGCAATGTGGCCACCAGTCTAGGTGACTCGACACCGCGGGCACCATTGTAAGGTTAGATGGTGGTTGGAGGTGGTTGACAGGAAACCCTGGACCCGGGTTTCGTGCTACTTGGCACTCGTCAGCAAGGTGTACCTGTAATCTTTAAGGGAACTGGTGCTCCCTGGCGGATTCGATCCCGTGTCACCCAGCTTCACAGTCACAGACGTTACCACTGAGCTATCCGGGCCGCGACCGACCTCCTGTAGGACTAGACACGCATGACATTGGTCACCCAGTGATCAATCAATTGTGATTACATGTCAGTCCTACAGGAGGTCGGTCGCGGCCCGGATAGCTCAGTGGTAACGTCTGTGACTGTGAAGCTGGTTGACACGGGATCGAATCCGCCAGGGAGCACCAGTTCCCTTAAAGATTACAGGTACACCTTGCTGACGAGTGCCAAGTAGCACGAAACCCGGGTCTAGGGTTTCCTGTCGACCACCTCCAACCACCATCTAAACTACTTTTTTTATGTCACGACTTTTAATATACATATAACTTAATAATGCCAATCTGTAGCTATTTTTATTACCAAAATCCGGTGTATAGATGAAATCTTCTTTAATCACCTTAAATTAATCAAAACCATCATTCCAATTACACACCTTACAGGTTTTGATACTTACATTAAAATATTTATTCCTGTCAATAATATTTACTGTTCACTAAGCTTATAACTGGCCAATCGTTGTTTCCTATCAAATTAATTCATTGTTTCACAATAAAGTCATATCAGATGATAATTGTTTTAGAGTTGTTAATAATTAGAATGTCCTAACCTTTTTCTCGTGTTTGAAAAAATAACTGACTTGATACTCAATCAATCAAATTCGATCAGCACTAGAGAAGGACTATATTTCGTTTAGAAGTCATTCATATTAAAAATAAAGTGGAAATTGACCGATGCAAACTATGAATATTGTTTTGATATAATTTACCTCCATTGAAACTATGTTGTAGTGTAATTCAATTCAAAATGGTTTAGATTATTCCGTTGTTAATATTTTGGCTGTTTTCATCATCATATGTGCATCCTATGTTGATTGCTTGGATGTATCTCCTAACTCAAGTTTGTGTAGAATAAATGGAATGTGTCTAGCAGTGGAACCCAGAACACGCGCTTCCAGTTTGGGACTCGTCAGGTCGATGTACCTGCATCCCAGAGTTGAACTTTTACCGAGAGATCCACTTGTTGACTTAGAATATTCCGATGACGTAGTTCTTTTTGGTGAAGACGTTGAAAAAATTCAGAGTCTTCTGATCACTCTAAGCAACAATGCAAGCATGTTCGGGATGCGATTCTCCCCTTCGAAATGCAGAATGTTGATTCTGGATTGGATTGCATCGACACCTGTCTCTGGGCTGAGATTTCGTCACACACCAGACCAAAAGGGCTGATGAGACTCCCTAGATAGGTGAAGCGGTTGACACGCTCAACTACTTCACTCCCTATCATAAGTACAGAAAGCTCGTCTAGCTTTTGCCATCTTGCGTCATTTATGGCGTTGGCGAGATATTCATCTACCAACCAAAGGACGGGCTTACCGCTCAGCAGTTCCTTCCGTCCTACTTTATGGCAGTGAAACATGACCGGTAAGAGTAGAGGATATTCGTAGGTTACTAGTATTCGACCACTGGTGTCTTGGAAGCACTGCTCGTATATCCCGGGACCACCGAGTAAGTAATGCAGTTGTTAGGAAACGGGTACTAGGTAAGAATGGCAAATCAATTGATGAACTGGTAGTGAAACTTCATCAGTTGAGATGGCCAGGATATGTGTTACGCATGCCCGACCACCGACTGCCCCGACGTGCGATGTTTTATGCTGTAGAAGTAGGTTGAAAGAAAGCTAGGGGCAGTCAGACCAAAACATGGAACAAATCCATGAAGTTACTGAAAAATGGACTGAGCCATGTTGTTAGGTGTAGACTACCTGGTTAGGATCCGCAAGATAATAGCAACTGATGATTAAAGACATTGAATGACATCGCTGCAATAGTGCAGGTGCATCCACTCTCTGTGTTCTCCCAAATTCTAATCTTCTGAAAACTTCATATCCCTTTCTTTTTTCTCTCCAAATTTATTTCACTGTATTATACTTCTTGAATAACATCTTCAAACCCTAATTTTTCTGATTACTGCTTATACTCTTACTACATGTACCACTACGGGATTTGAATCGACAATTGTATCTCTGTGCTAATGTGGTATGGCAACTCGAACTGATGTACGTACGTACGAAGTTTTACGTTGTTGCTGACTGACTCACTCAATGATTCAAATGACAGCATATTATTAACCTGGCGACTCAGTCCAGATAGCCACTCGCTTGTGCAACAATTGTGAGTTTTAATTCAATTCGAAATAGATTTGGCTATCTCGTTGATATTTTGGATTTGAGTCCCTCAGTGAACGTCAACTCTGGGATGCAGGCACATTCATCTGAAGAGTTCAAAATAAGGCGAAACGCGTGTCCTGGATTCCACTGCCAGCTATTTAGTAGTTTACCTTTTACTTTTGATAAGTAATCAACATTGTATAATTATGATGGATGTATTATATTTGTTCAAGTAGTATATCGGCTTTTCAAGAAAAATGGTTTACAGTACAAATTGTAATGTGACTGGATATCTGTTTACTGTAAATCATAGAATAGTAGTGATGTTAGAATAGAAAGTTTAAACTACTAATTGTTATATAGTCGATTCGTCGATTCTATTAGTTAAAGTGTTTGCACATGATAAATATGTCACTTGACCCTTGTTATTCTTCTCTCTAGTGAAAATTTAACAATATTTATGCTGTAAAAGAAAAATCATATTTTCCTAAATGTTCACTTTCTGTCCACCAATTACGTTATTCTAACTAGTATATACATCATATGATTTTATGATCATTAATAGACTTTCACTAATTTACTTTGAAAAAATAATCAGACGTTTATTGATTTTTGTTTACACGACAATTAATGGCACTAAAGACGTATTCATTTAGTTGATTTTACTTAAATGTGTAAGTGATTTTGTCCAGATTGATTTATTCTGGACATTGTATGATTTCCCGTACGGCTTCTTACGATGTAGGTAACTCATGTGGTTCACAAATAAACTGAAAGGAATATTGAGGCTGAAGGCTTTTGTTCATCAACTCGTACCGTGGTTTCTTCATTCCGTTTCATTACTTGATTTTCTTGTCAGCATGAATACTTTTGGTCAATGAAGATTATTCCTATGAATAAAAATGATGTATTGTATCAGACGCGGTACATTGTGTGAAGATTTTTAAAGCTGGGTTTCAAAACAGAATATGTGTCTAGCGACCCGATGGCTAGTTCTCGTGGACTGGCAAGTGTAGGCATAGCACTAAGCATGAGGGCGGAACAAGCGCTATTAGAGTGGATCCCCGTTAACAGTCGTCTATGCGGTGTTCGGCTAAACGGCTCCGTAAGAACTCGGAAGTATAGGGACACACGTCGTTGCCTTTTCGTCGTTTCTGCCTACGCTCCCACTGACTGCAGTTCGGATGAAGTGAAAGATGAATTTTACAGAAAACTCCCTGAACTTCTTCAGAAAGCCAAACGTTCAGACATATTACTCATAGCAGGTGACTTTAATGCCCAGGTAGGCAGCTTAAACGAAACAGAAAGACATTTAGGTGGGTATTTTAGTATTCCGGCACAGCGAACAGATAATGGTGATCGTCTGCTGCAACTGTGCTCAGACCAATCGTTTATTTTTAGCAAACACAAATTTTAAGCATAAGGAGAGACATCGTCTAACATGGTGACCCCCTGAACCAAACCAACGATGGACTCAAATAGACCATATTACCATCAGTCATCATTGGAGAGGGTCGATAGAAGATTGTCGCTCATTCTGGAGTACCTGCCTTGACTCCGACCATGCCCTAATGTGAGCACACATCTGTTTGCGCCTCACTGGACGCAAAAAAGCCACATTAAAAAGACCCATTAGAACTGAACTGAGTAACAAGAAAACCAAACGTAGGTTCCAAGATTAACTGAGGTCACACTTAGGTAGTTCTGAAAACGAGGCTGACCCAGATGTTGCTTGGAAAGATATACAATCATCTGTGGAAACAGCAACGACATCTATTAGTGATTTAAACCACAGGGTTACAAAGAACCAATAGATTTCTTCAAGGTCTATTGCATTGATGGATTCTCTCAAACTCATCCCATCAGGATCTGAACACGATGAAGAGCGTAGACAAATCAGATCTAGGTTAAGCAAAAGTCTAAGGAACGACCATGAGCAGTGGTGGGCAACGAAAGCAAAAGAGATGGAAAAGGCGGCGGCCATAAGTAACTCCAGAAAACTCTTCAGACTCATAAAAGAAACTGGAACTAAAAAGTCCAGTGCAATTAAGACTATCTCGGAAAAAGATCACGTTCTTATCTGCTCCCAGTCCAGACGTTTAGAACGATAGGCGGAACACTTTAAGGAGCAGTTCAGCTGGCCTTCAGCTACTCTACAACTACCCTCCATTCCCAGACAGTGTGAATGGAACATTGGAGTAGGTCCCCCAACTCTAAGTGAAGTTCAAAAGGCTATAGTTAATCTAAAACGAGGAAGGGCAGCAGGTCCAGATGGATTGGCCCGATAGGTTTTTAAGGATGGTGGTCCAATTTTAGCGATTAGGTTGACTAATATTTTAGCTAAAATCTGGGAGTTGGACGTAATCCCATCTGACTGGTCACAATCACTTATCGTCCCAATATATAAGAAAGGGTCAAAATCATCCTGTGACAACCATAGAGGGGTTAGTTTGACTAATATAGTATCTAAAATACTAGCCTAACAAAGCCTCGTGAACTGCAAACACGAGAGAATCAAGCTGGCTTCAGACCTGGTCGTGGATGAATAGACCACATATTCACCATTCGTCAGGTTCTAGAACACAGGCATACTTATCGGCGTCCGACAATGGTGGTCTTCTTCGACTTAAAAGCAGCATTTGACTCTGTAGACTGAAAGGTTCTGTGGCAGTGTCTGTCATTGAAAGGCGTACCTCAGAAGTACATAAACCTTGTGAAGGCTCTTTACTCGAACACTACTAGTCGAGTGAGAGCTTATGGCGAACTGTCATCTGCTTTTGCAACCTCAAGTGGTGTCCGTCAAGACTGTCCACTTTCTCCATTTTTGTTTAACTTCATCATAGATCTACTGATGGAAATAACTCTCTCATCGACTGAATTTTTGGGAAGGCGAGATATCCGTCTGTCAATAAAAAGACGAGTATACTGCGCGGCAGTTCGTTCCGTTCTACCATACGGCTGCGAAACATGGCCTTTAAGAGTAGAAGATACTCGTAAGTTACTAGTATTTGACCACAGATACCTTAGAAATATTACTCGCATCTGCTGGGATCATCGGGTAAGTAATAGTCAGGTTAGACTCAGGGTATAAGGGAATGATGGTAAATCAGTTGATGAGTTTATGGATCTTCATCGACTGAGATGGTTGGGCCACGTGTTGCGTATGCCTGAACACCGATTACCACGACGCGCAATGCTAACCGGTGTTAGCGATAATTGGATGAAAGTTGGGGGTGGCCAAATAAAAACGTGGCATCAGTGCTTGAAGTCACTAACTTCTGATCTGAGCCATGTTGGTAGATGCAGACTACTTGGTTGGGGTTCGCGTGACTATCGTAACCAATGGTTGGAGACTCTTGGTGACATGGCTCAGAATCGATCACAATGGCGTCGGTGTATACACTCTCTGTCTTCCCTTAATCTGTGAGATTAAAATCGCTTCATATCTGTCTAGGAACTAGTTCTTTCTTCCTTTACTATCTCCTTATATGCGATCTTTCTTTTATATATTACCACCACTGAATTAACTACTATGAATCCGGTGTTCATCTTGTTGTGCTAATGAGGTATGGCAACTTGGACCGATGTATATATGTACCTGGTCGTATGTTGTAGCTGACTGACTGGGAAATTTCAATGGTTAAGATCATGAGTCAGTTGAAGCTAGACCACCATGGAAAACCTGGATGCACTGGACGGCCGAGTCGTCCAAGTATGGGACTCCTCAGTAGTGCACATCCACTGACTCATGAATCCAATTATTAAAATTACTATAATATCCACAAAATCCCTCTCTCATTATAATCATCATATGCTCACTAGTGAGGTATTTCCTGGAGTTGCAGCTGACTGACTGATCTACTTAACCACTGTAATTTTCATGTGAATAAATATACTAAAGATCAAATAGTTCCAGTAAATTGTTATGGCTTGTAATATTTACGGCCTTATGTTCAACGAATATCATACTGATCAATAAAAATGCTGTAAGCCTCCTCGTAACCAATAAATTAGTTATAAAATGATTGCTACTTTTGAGTTATTTGGTCATATGAAAATAGAATGAACCTAGGAATAACTGTACCAAGCTATACAAATAAACATATTCGTGTTTTTGATTTAAAACCGTAAGAGGGTAGTCACAAGTTGGTCTTCTGTGCTACCCGAGGCAATACTATTTGTGCTACTGACTGCACAGTCAATTACATAGACTTCAATGAGGGTTTTGTTTATTTTTACTTCTCATCCTTATTGTATTTTCAGTACAATTCAACATTTAAACTCAGATGTTTAAAAAGCTGGGTACGATTTTGTATATAATATTAAGTGAAATAATCAGAGGTCAAATATTTCAAATCTGTTACAGCTTGCAGAATAGAGAATGCAGTTGGTCTATAATATTACTCCGTCAAATTTGCTAATGCTCTTGGATAAGACAAAGATCATACTTAAGCAAATGACTCAGAAAAATCAATGTAAGGTTTAACTTAAATACACTGCTCAAATCTATCAGTGAATGTTATCCACCGTTAAAACATAGTGCGACTATTAAAATTTATTAGTTTTCCAAATGTAGATTACTTCGAAATCAAATTTGTGCTTTGTTAGTTTTTAAATCTTCGCAAGTTTTCTCAAATCACTCAATCCCATAACTTCCAGTAGTCAGAAAGCGTCCCAAAATTTGTTCGATTTAATCTCTCGTTGCCTTCCTATATTTAGGTCAAATGTTTGGATTGTCTTGCGCTCACTACTTTTGTTTAACTTGTTGGCAGCGTTATCTTAAAATTAAAATAATGGAAGAAAGTCAAATTGACCGAATTTATTGTCCTTCATCCACTTGTCGTATAATTGTTGAAGATGAGGTTGTATTTCAAATGATTACTGATCAAAATGTACGCAAGCATTTTCACAAGCTGATATCTAGTAGTTTTGTTCTCCACAACCGTGCATTAACTTGGTGTCCAGGTGTTAACTGTGGACATGCCGTGCGTTGCTTTGGTCCCCGTGAACCATATCAAATTACTTGTACTAACTGTGGTGAATGCTTTTGTTTTGCCTGTGGCCAACCATGGCATGATCCAGTTCGTTGTGAACAGTTAAAAACATGGATTAAAAAGCTTGAAAATGATAGCGGTACGCTTGGTTGGATTGCAGCTAACACTAAAGAGTGTCCAAAATGTCGTGCAACTATAGAAAAAAATGGTGGTTGTAATCACATGACCTGTCGGAATGTTGATTGTAAGCATGAATTTTGTTGGATGTGTCTAGATCGATGGGAGCCCCACGGATCACGATGGTACACATGCAATCGTTATGACGACTCCGCTGCTAAATTGGCTAGAGAAGCTCAAGCTAGTTCAAGGTTATCACTGGATCGTTATCTTTTTTATTCAAATCGTTATTTAAATCATATGCAGTCGTTGAGGTTTGAGGCACGTCTATATGAAACAGTGCAAAGTAAAATGGAATCAATGCAAGCTCATGGAACATCTTGGATAGATGTTAAATTTTTCAAAAAATTAGTTGAAATTCTTTGTCGCTGTCGAAGAACACTCATGTATACTTATGCTTTTGCTTATTTCTTAAAAAAAAATAATCATTCATTAATATTTGAAAGTAATCAAAGTGATTTAGAACAATCTACAGAACAGTTATCGGAATATCTGGATCGTGATTTATCTAATATCAATTTAAATGAATTAAAACAGAAAATGCAAGATAAAGCCAGATATTGTGAAAGTCGCCGAAATGTTCTTTTAGATCACGTACATGAAGGTTATGATAAAGGATTTTGGGAGCAATCCGACACTTGTTAGTGTTTGCTTAACTGTATGTTCATCCATCCACACGCACATAGAATATCACAGTCTTTGTTTCCATGTGTATAGTTTCTATTTTTGAATCACTATGATCTCGTTGATATCAATATTTCTATTTTCCCTCGTTCATGCGTACCTCAGTAGTTTGGCTTATGTATATGCACTTTCAGTAATTTCAATAAAATATGAATGATAAAGACTTAACCAAACCAGGTCATCATTATGTGTTTATAGAACTCTCTTTTTTTCTGTAACCCTAATCAGTAATTATATACTGTTTGCATTCCTGAATCTTGTCATCCTTTCCAACTTCGTTTCCTATGTTGTATTGTTTATGTATTCTTCCTTCCTAAGTCATATTTCATTTATTAATTAGTTGAATGGATTATTGTCACTTTTAGTAAAGTTCCTATTATTAAGATTACCATTGTTTTCTCGAATAACCATAGCAGCGTACAAACTGTTACAGTTAAATTGATAGAACTTTTCCAATCCATTTTGTTTTGCCATGTACAGTTCAGTTTCTGCTTTTATTTATTTGTCTACATGTTTGCACAACAGTTCTAAGCATGTTGACACAAATACATTTGTATAACTATCGTTATTGTCAAATACTATGGTGAATGTGTCACCCTGGTCAACATTAGATCGGGAAAGCTGTCTTCAATTGTTGATTGTAAATTAAATATTACTTGCAAACATATGTGTAAAATATGCTGAAGTACACATATGATTGGCATCTCTTGTTGTTAGGATTCTACGATTTCTTATTTGCTTTCTGCCTTCACCCATGATTTTTCATGGCCATATGAAGTAAATAGATTTTAGTTTCCGATTGCCTGGATAATTAACATTGCAAGAAAATCAATGTCTACTCTTTGTTGAGTTTTCTCTAGCGATGTTTTTTTCAATGAATTATTTGTTTCTAGCTACTAGCAAAATATATTCCTTTGTTTCGTTAACGGTTTATAAGTAGTCAAGTGAACTGAGGTTAATAATCTGGGACTTTCAATCGTAACTTTTGGAATGTAACCCAAGATGACTAGATCGCGCTTTCTCGAGATGATTTGGATCAGGATGTTTCCTCTAACCGAGTTTGTTGCTCTAAGTCAGTTGAGTTCTCTACGGAATCCGAATTCGGCTGACGAAAGACACTTGGACTGTCTACTGGTTACCAAGATATTTTGTGGCATACAACTGCTGATCTGCTTCTGTCCATTAGAATAACTTCGAGACTGGATCTTGTGAGCACATTGTGACATAGGATATGAGGTACCACTACAAACTTAGCATGCTTGCGGCAAATATGCGGTCATATGTACTAGCTGGTGTAATTACTTATTAAGTTCTTCCGCATTCGTCATATGTTTTACATACACAAGCATCATTCTACTTAGTTACAGTCGCATTGTGAGGAAATTGGTAATTCGCCCGTATGAAGATACATTCCTTCGGATAAATAGGTCGACAAACTTCTTGTTTCTGGGCAATTACTGAGCTTTCGTTTTCTTGATCATCACTTAAGTCCAGCTGATGTGGAATCAGTTTTTTAGACTTACGCAAAGTGTTTAACAATTGGCTTTAAGTGTTGAGATCGTTCTCAATTTCACAGGGAACGTGCAAAAACGAAAAGTAGTCTAGGTTATCGCAATTAAATAATCTCATTCGAGCTTTAGTGAAGAGAATCAATAGGCATTTGTGGCAGGGATTTTTTGGCAGACAGATTTTACTGCAATTCCCAGTTATATCTATTACTCAACCGAAGAAATCCCTATAAACTTAGCTAAACACCGTCATGTCAGCAGGTTTATGTGGGAAGTCAGACGATTGCATGTATGCAAAATACTAGCTGAGTCTATAGAGTATTATGCCTTTACACCTGCTAGTTCCCCCCTCGCAGTAATCCTAAATTTCGCTTCTCTTGTCATTCCCCTTTCTCCCCATCCTCTTCAGCTTTCACACACTAAGTAAACGAAAAATGCTTGGTGCTACACATACACTAAATACCGACAAACTGATACACAGAAAATTCTTTGACGCGTGTCTTATCTCTGAAATCACGTGAATTGTAAGTTTCCTTTATTCATACTAAAGGATCGACAGAAACTTGTTTTAGGAGTGTCCAATTTTCTAAAAGTCTCATTATATGGGATTTAGAGGAGCTGGAGTATCTAGAGCCGACAAAGCCTCACTCTTACGACCTTCTGCTAGTGGGATCTGTTATCGAGCACGTTCTGCTGGACACGTCCTAGAAGATATACAGTTGGTCACGCAAGTCAGTCGGTGGTGCATCACGACTTTGAAGTATTACAATTTCATTCGTCAGTAGTGAGAAGAAACAGTAAGCATTCAAAATACACGCAAAATTTAAGCTTGAAATATACGTGTTTGCTAGTACATGTCACTGTGATGTTTGTATAAACTAATGTGTCCTTTGTACTTGATGGCTTCCTGATTTAGAATTTTAAATACAGTATGTTCGTTTGTGTTCATTTAATTCCATCAGGCATTTATTGAGTTATATCGGGGATTCCTAGTTCACATAATAGTTCAAATACTTCTAAACATTACAGTCACTTAATGATAACATAGAAAGATTGACTTTTGCTGATCTAAAGAACAAATTGAAGAATGAATCGAAAAACTTAAGGCAGTATGGTGTCCAAGTAATGAGATCGTGGAAGAAGATACTTGTATGGGTAGAAACCGAGGTCCTCAAAATACATTGAATGTATGCTAAACGAACGTTCTTATACTTTAAGACGATATATTCGAATTAAGATATCAACTGAAAGAACCAAAACATAATATTTTCGCCTTCCCTAAAGCATGGTTCATAACATATGTATCCTACTGCAATGATTACAGAACAGATTGGTGTTAAAAGTGATGATGTTCTTGGTAATATGGGGGGTTTATAGTCAGTTTGCTCTTGGCATAAAGTACATCGAAGGCACATGACGTTCACACATGAACTATACCCAGCTTAAAAATCAAGCTTAACACTATGTGCTGGCCTTGGATGAAGTATATCAGTCAGATTTAAACTTCAGATGATTTCGTCTTGGTTCATGCTTGTTTTAAGGTTAAAGATATTAGTTTTCTTATCGTTTGGGATCTTAATTCATCTTACACTAATTTTGTGGACCTCGCAGCTTAAAACGAATATTTTTAGAAGAACCTAATTTCGGATAGTCTTTGTGTACAGCCATGCAATATCATAAAATCAACACACTTTGACTTGGCACACAAACCATCTCCCGAATTTTGTGTTTGTATAGCAAAGCATTAACGTCTGGTACATTCGAATACGATTATCTTTGGCAAATATTGATGTTTTTTGCAGTACTGAAGATTGTTAGTACAGGATATACTGTGTGAGATTGCTCTGTTCTGTTCAAACGTCTAGCGAGAAGAACTACAGTTGCCTGGATTTACCCCCGGTTGATAAGAGGTTTAAAAATAAAAGTAACTGTAATAAGCTTCATCATGTAACGTGTGGAACAAGCGGAGCTTATACAAACTGTAAGATCCATTTTTAATGTTATGTGTGTGAAAATCCCTCCATGTATACGCTTGCAGTTTATTCTTATTGATTACTTTAGTTGTACATTTTGTCAGACTTTTTCATTCCGTTTGAGTTGATAACATTTGTGTTTTATTATAGTTTTTATTTTTCTTACGCTTTCACTAAGTTTCCATGTTTCTTCCTGAACTGCATTCATGTTTTATTTGGTACTTATTCTTGGCGGCAGCCATATTAGTTTGTTTCTCTCTTTGATTGTGTTGCGTGTATTGACTGGAATTGTGCATTTTCGATTGTGAATTGAAGCACTCTTCCAGAGTTGGGAACACTTTGTTATAAATCAACCGAATATTATCTTTGGAACGAATCTGTGCGTGATCTATCCAGACAGGATAGAATAGCATTGATTTGTTGCTATTGGTAATTTTCTAGCATCCTTTTTCAACTTCCTTATTTATTTTAATTTAGATTTGATTAGTTGAACTATTATTGGTTAGATAGCTGGGTGGACATATTTGTTTAGGTAATAATGTACACTTAAAATTATGATGAATTATAGAACCGTCATTTTACCCAATTACTTTTTTTTGGTTTCAACCAGGCAAGGGTGCGTATCTAACCCACCTAGACAGCTATTCTTCAGTCCAAACCTTAGTTGGGATCTTACACAAACAAATAAATTGTTCACAATTCGATGTAAGACATTAGGAACTGTAATACTCTGATATGATGGGAAGAAAAGTTCGTATTCGATTGATTGATTTACGCAATATGAGTTTTATTCATCATTACATCCGTTTTTGATTCAATGTAATGATTACGCAATGTAGTGTGTGTTTTCTTTTCTCGTATGATATTTTATCCTATATAATATACGATATTCTTGTATTCCGTTGACCTGAACTATGCTCAGTAAGTGAATTGTTATAACTGATTACGTGATGTAATCCTAATTACTAACCAAAATTGGTGTACAATCAATATATAAACCAGTGTATTTTAGACTATCATCATCGTAGTCGTCGTCATAGTGTTTTGGGGCTAATAAATCTTCACTTATTCCAGTCTTGTGTTCTTACTTTGCATCGTGGGAATTGCAGAGGTCTCTCGTTCCGAGTATTAGTGATTAGCGTTTTTCCGACACAGCAATCAGCGAAGATCAGACATAACATACTCCAACAAAATAATAAAGCAGGTAATGATTTTATCCACTATGTTTTAATCCTAGCAGACAGTGACGCGCGTGTTTTGAAAAGGTTAGTGGTTTAGCACTGGCACGGTCAGGAAGTTAAACCATGTGTTTTCGGGCACATGTTACATATTGTTGAGGATTTTGGGACGTCGTTATTTATCAGCTATTAACAACATTTTTCCGTTGCGTTACTTTTCGTAATGTTTGTGCTTCTTACATAGCTTTTATTCCAGTTTATTAGTTGTTCGACATATTAGTTACTTACAAACTGGGTGAATATTTAGTCGGCCTAATGTGGTTATTTGTAACAATACAAACTCAGGCAGGTAAAATTCACTATTTGACATGTCATTAATAGACCGCAATCAGGGTTTTATGCAAAAATGAGCTCTAAGACCTTTCCCATTTGATTCACTTTCCTAATTATGATGCTGATGAACATGAGTATTGGTAGTTGTTTATAAAATATAGGCTGAAGCAATTAGGCGTTAAACTATCTATGAATTTTGTATAACTTGTTAATATACAGCCATAAATAGTGCTATCCATTATGAGTATAATCGTTTTCAACTGAAGTGACAAATTATCATGTAACTTATCTGAGAAAAATTATATGAGTAACAGTTGACGTTGATAACCTTTTCTGCATTCTTTGTGAACATATACAGAAACTGTGCATAAAAGTACTGTAAGTACCACATTAATTAGTCGAATAATCTTCATAAGTAAAGCGATGCGCGTTTGTTTTGAGCATAGTAACTAAACCATGTCGTAGTTGATATCAATCTATGATGTGTCTCTTATAGGGTTTACGAATGAATTCCTGTAAACAGAATCCACAGTAACTGATCAAAGTATAAACAAAGTTTTAATGCATGATGACCAGTAATATCCAAATGGTGCTTACCAGTTTCTTCGTTGATATCAAATGACTAGCTGAAATTCTAGAAGGGTTAGAAAATGAAGTGCACTGTTTACAGCAAGCAGGACATTTATAAGTATATTATGTTCTGTTATTTCACTTACGTATTGAACTTAACACTGATAACGAAAATTAATCCTTTGTTTCACGGTTGATTTGTTGTTTTTCGGAATTGTATTAAGCTGAGAAATTCGTCATACGTTTTCTGATATGCAACATATGGCTTCTGTCAACGAATTGAAGAGTTCAAACCTTATAAAAATACTACAACAAGGAATTTCTTATGGTAAACAGTTCCTGTCACGTCTCCACACTGTTGCATTCCTATCCATATTTTCTATCGTAAAGAACACTACGCAAAGACAAGCGTTAGAGAAACCACATTCTTACTTACTTATTGATGATTCGTAAGCTAAAATTGGCTTCCTTGAATTTGTACATACTGTTTGCTTCCTTTGGGTGACGTAATTGTTCTTATTATGGAAGATGTGGGTGTTATCTATCTTCCATCGACTGTAACGTCTAAGAATACGAGGAACTATACAGTTTACATTCCGTAACTGATCGAGCTTGCCTGGAAGAGTTCGTCTTATTATGTATGTCAGAAGTATATGAAGGCGAAGGAACCCGGCATGTCCCAATCTATCCACGTTTTAGGTTATATCTGCTCGCAACACTTTTTGCTTCCAATCAAAATTATCCCCGAAACTTTCCCCAAAATCGGAAGATTGGGAAGTTACGAAACAACAATCTATTCAACGTGTGAACTACAAGACAGAGAGAGCTAAATCAATGTTCTTCGCAATGATTTCGTGGTGTTGCTGCAGCAAAAGACCACTTAAATATGAGAAATCCTCATATTCGTGCAACCCAACGAGCGCCCAACAAACTCACAGTATTTGAAATACGGACTGATAGTCTTTTGTCAGGCCGTTCAAGGTCGTCGAAACGAAACGGCAGTCATCTTTGTAAGGGTTTGACATTTTCCCGTGTCTTTAGTACTTGTTTGATTATCCTTGCCTTTGTGTACTTGTTGCATCAAAAAGTATTCTAGGTCTACTTTCGACTAAAGTTTGGAATTTTGCTAATCTTTGTCTTGTAATACCTTCTTTCTCATTGACACATGTGTTTATATTGTGATCATATTGTGTTTTAAACCTTAATCTGATTACAGTGGTTGGAAATACTTGTAAATGAAAACAGTCAAGTGGTTTATTCCCCGTAGATAAATGAATGCAATGTGTCGAGTGCAAAAAAGGTTCCATATGATGTTTACTTATTTAAGCCCCATAGCTGGGTTTGTATGTTTTGTTGTACAAATAAGACGTTACTAATTCAGGAGGCGATGAGCCTATCAGCTTTGGCCAGTAAGAAGAAATAGGGCGATTGCGCTGGTAACACGAGTAATAATAGTTAAGAATGTGTCAGTGTAGTACGTGCTAGATGTGTTAAACACCCGACTATGATTGACGGAACAGTAAAATCTACATTAAAACTAACGAGGAGTAAAACGCCAATTCGTATTGATGTGGGTAGTCATGCATGACGAGTAGAAATTAAAGACCGGGATAAAACCGTCACCGTTCCAAATAGTCCTGGCGTGGCTGTCCTGAGTGATGAAAAATGGACGGAAGTGAAAGAAATAATCTACAATCAATATGCACTTGGTTAGCAAATCAATGGCGAACTCTAACTCTCAGTCACAAAATACAATACCCTAGCCACCCTAGTATGGCTTAGAATAATTTAATCTCATCAAATATTATTGTGAGTAGTTTCCTAGGGTCAAACGATGCTGATCACAAAATTAGAATGAAAAAGAATACGGCACTAGCCGAACTTAAAACCGGTCGACTAAACGGTGGGGAAAATCTTTGATTAGTGGGTTTCCGAATATTTAGGTTTGGAAGCGAATGCTACCAAGGCCTGTGTAGAAAGGCCGTTCTCCCTATGTCAATGCTCTTGGTCTAAGACATAAATTGTATGAACTAGGAGTATTAGTGGATAAATTAAGGCCACTCATTGTAACTGATGGAAACTTGGTAAGTCCATGGCCTCGATATTACTCCAGAATTATCCGAATACTATTACCTACGGAATGATAGACACAGATGTAGGAAAGGAGGTAACGTTCATTTATACATAGCCAACAATATAAATATCCGCTCCTTTGCTTTCGAACCCCATGATAGTAGAACTTCTGAGGTCATTATCTGTGAGTTCACCATCGGATGTTGTACATCTGTACTCAGTGTCATCTATCGAAACCTAACCCGCTTAGCTTATGACTTCATTTTAAACGCATTCAGTAATCGAGTGCAACTGACAGATGTTTGATATTAGGAGACTTTAATGGACATAATGTTAGTTAGACTGAGATGGCCTCCTTTGATAGTATGTTCCTGATAACGGAAGTGGAGCATGCATCCGTATGGCACGTATCCAAACCCACACGTTTTGGTGCAAACCAAGGTTCTCCTTCGTTGGACTCGGTAATCACTCATGCAATTGATGATATGGCCAACCCAGATATTCTTCAACCGTTAGTGAATAGCGATCGCGCTATTTTGTCAGCCACGTTTGGAGCTAGTGACATGATATGCGATCAGGTTAAGCCCCGCCCAAATGTATGGAGAGCTGACATACCAGCCATCCAGGAGTGCGCTGCCAAAACAGATTGGTTTGGAGATACTAGCTTATCACTTGAAGAGGCATGGTCCGTATTCAAAAGTAAGTTTAGTTTAGTTACGTCCTCGTCCATACGTTACCTGGTACCGCGTAGACCGAATAACAGTTCACCATGGATAACTAGAAAAGTCAGGAGACTTCTTAAAAGAAGGAAAAAGCATTGGAATATGTTCATCTCTACTGGCTTAGAACAATACCGATCCAGTTATTGTAAGATTAGGAATGCCTGTAAAGCGTTAATAAGTAGGACTAGACGATCATATGAATAACAATTGGTTAGGGATTGTAGACATAGCCCGAAACAGTTATTCTCGTATATAAAAAGGCGAACTCAGAGAAGCGATAAAATTCCATCAATTTTGATACAAGAAAATCCGTTACTCTTAGCAAAAAATGATAACTAAAAAGCTGAAGCTTTATCGGAATATTTCAGCAAAGTGTTTTCTATCAGTAATGAAGAACGACCAACGATTCATTAATGATGGACTCTGTATTCGTTGAGGAAGGTACTGTCTTAAGACTACTACAGCATCTCAAACCTGATAAGTCCAGTGGTCCTGATGATATCCATCCTAGGATTAAGAAAGCCATATCAGATGTAATTCCTGAACCTTTTAGCGATATTGTTTGGCATGTCTCTGAGGCAGTCTAGATTACCCAGAGACTTGAACGGCGCGATAATAAGTCCGGTGTATCAGGCGAGGAGTAGAGATTAATTTAGTATCTATCGACCCGTTAGTCTAACCAGTGCAGTTGTAGAAGTAATGGGAATGATTATTCAGATAAATGTTATAAACTATATGGAAGGACATAATCTTTTCTCCAGGAAACAACATATTTTTCGGAAAGGCCAATCATGTCTGACAAATTTCCTCAATGCAAGAGAAGATTGGGTTGTGGCAAAAGATCGAGATATTCCTGTAGATGTGATTTTCATATATCTAAGTAAAGCCCTTGATAAGCTCTACCATTCAGGTCCTAAGTTAGAACTGGAAAATTTTGGAATACACTTTAAGGTCATAGACTAGATAAGCGATTTTCTCCACAACAGTAGACAAAGATTAGGGGTAAATAAATCTCTCCCATCGTGGGGACCTCTAAAAAGTGGAGTTATCCAAGATTCAACCCTCGGTTCTCTTCTCTTTTACTTTATGCAAACGAGTTACCAACTGTAGCAAAGTCATCCGTTCTACTCTTCTCCTATGACATACAAATTTGGGGACACATACACAGTTTGTCAGATAGAATAGTACTACAGGATGATCTCAACTAGCTGGTGGCATGGATGGACGGGTGGTTATTAGAAATTAGTCCCAACAAGAGTGTGGTGATGCAATTAAATAACTGTGATGATTCGTATTACTACAAAATGTGTGGATTCGTGTCACCCAAAGTAAGAAACTATAGAGATTTAACAGCCATAACAGGCAGTTATCTCAAATATACTGGTAACTGTAATGCAGCTAATGCAAAAGGCTATAGGGTATTATGGGCTATTCGTAGGTCTTTTCAGTATTCAGATGAAGAAATGTTTAGATTAACATACACGACTTTCATGAAACCGCACTTGGAATATCGGATTCAAGCAGCGAGTGCTTGTTTCAAGTATGGGTCGGATATGCTGAACAGAGTTCAACGACGAGGGACTAAAATGATATATGATCCATCTGGACTATCTTCCGAAGACAGATTGAGACTCCTCAACGTATTTCCGTTATCTAATATTGGCTTATGGCTTACTGAACGATAACCTCGGTATTAATATATCTTGTCTTTTCTTTTTGTCTAGGACTGATCATTTGATAGGACATTCGACGAAAGCTCAAAAACCGAGATCGTATGGTCTACGTATGGAGTTTCGTTTCTCGCACCAAGGAGTGAATAACTAGAATTCTCTACCGGGACACGTAATATCAGCACCTTCTGTTGATATATTTAAAACGACGTTGGACCTCTACGGTGTTACAAAATGAAAGGATTAATATAGGTCGATAGTTTTGCTATCCTTATTACAGAACACTGAAGACTGAGGATGTTATCGGTTAGCTCCAAACCACTTCAGTTACATAAATAACGTTGGTCATAAGGCATTATCAATTACCTGAAACAGTACCGAAACAACAAGAAGCGAACTAAAGAAAATCAGTTGATAATAGCTTGCTCGTCACAAATAAATTGGATATTGGAAGAGTTTTTTTTGAATCTGTCAAGGTCGGAGTGTTGGGTTTGTCATCAATATTGGTTCCTGACTATAACTGGTAATATTTGACTACCCATTATTGTCATGGGTTGTGATAATCTCATTCTTCTTCACGGATGAACCATTTTTGGGATTTTTGCATTATCTAGAACTACTTTCGGTTCACTTTAACATGATTGGTACACGTGTACGTTTCATGTACATAGAACGTCTTCACTAATATCGTTAGCTAACATCACCTAGAGAATTCCATTTAAGTTATTTATTTTTAAGGTCGTAGTGGATGCCTCAATCAATAGTTTTTATCCACTAGTGCTTTTAAACTTATTTTAACGTGTTTAGTTTTACCTGAGACTACAAATGCCCTGTAGGTTTTTTGGAAGCCCAAAAGTGGATAACTGAATGAACGGGACAATCATACAAGTGATTTGTCACGATTATTTTTGATAGTTATTTAACATGAATGACACTGCCGTGGTCAACTGTTATGTGGTTTTTGGAGATTTCATTTATATAAAGGTAGATTAACTTTTGTTATCATGGAGTCAATCATAAGCAAAGTGTGTGTACCACTTTAAGGCAAATATCAAGGTAGCAGAATTAGTAACAGTACTAACGTTTGTAGAAAAAATTAATGATAAGCTATTTAGTTCAAGAAGAAAGAATGAGTCCACAGAATAAAAAAGTATAAGATTATTTTTAAAAAAAGATTTAATGGAAGATATAGACTAGGTGAATCTAGGTCATTAACATCAGTGTTTACACAACACAAACTAACCCTACTTCATCCATTTTTCTTGAAGTTCCATAGATACAAAATTTAAGAGTCCTAACGCCGCTAGTGGGTGGTCTGAGTGAGTCATTTAGACTTCAAAAATAAACGCAGATCAAACTTTAATGTCATCATGATCACACTTCTACTTTGGCACAATAGAGGCATCGAAAAATATTCAGTCATTTTCCTTGTTAGTTAAAATATAATCCAAAATAAACCGAATCTAAACGCTTTTCTTTCAAGTTAGCAACCTTTTGACAGATAATTCCTATTTTAACAATAAAATTAAAACACGAAGTTCAGCGAAGGGATCTCTTTTCAACGAATTTATTGTCAAGCCAAGGCTCTTACCATTCAGGAGCTTAAACCAGAACTATGCGTACAAAAGAAGTACGTCTTATCGTTATCGTTACCTCGGCCTTAATTATTTTGATTATCCTATTATTATTATTATTATTATTATTATTATTATTACTGCATTCCCCCTTTACTTATGTCTTATATTCTCATTGTTTTTATTTGTAAATGCTCATCATATTACCTTATTTATTTTCACACCTCTATGACCTTTAATTATTATAACAAAAACATTTAATCATCTTAATATATTCACTAAATCTATTATTATTGTTCGTATTACGTAATCTAGTTAGCAACCTCGCAATTAACTAGGGCCCCTTGATAAGAGAAGACAGCTTCGATGGGAGTCCCTAGCTCGTCCATTTTGTTTCATCGGTTAGATTTATTCATTTATTACAAGTTATTGTTCTCTATATCAAATCTACATTAGATCTCGGCTTCTTTTTTAGAAAACCAGTACGGTTATTCGAACAGTCTTTCAGTGCCCAGTCGTCCAGCTGATAGTTTTCCTACTATCTCTGTTTTTTTATTTAGATACTTCAATAAAGGACTAGTTAGCTTCTGCTCATGACAATTTTATAGAAGTTAATCGTTTTTTGGCCCATCTAGGTGCAAGTAAACATTAGCTAGACGATGGCGTCTTTTCCCTAAGCGCTTTAAAAGTAGTTGTCATCTGGATTTGTAGGATGACTGAGTAATTTAGATCTTAAATGCTTATTCTTAGTAGGTGTACAAATTTTATGTTATAAAATATAATCACTTCTTTGGAACCCGTCTCGATTAATTATCCCGTGTAATTGTAATAATACTAACCATATTCTCGATTCAATATCTCAAAATAAACTATAAAGTTAAATACATTGCTAGTTTATTCATGAACACAGTCTGCACATGGTTTTTAAACCGTCTTTGTTTTTCGTCAATGTCATGTACTTCTAAAATGGTTTGCTAAATAGCAATAGTTTCCGCTGGAAGCCGTCTCGGAAAAAAGCTGTTCAACATTTTGATCTATTTATAATCGCTTTATATTGAATTGAAATATACCATCACTAAAATACAACTTGACTGATTCATATGTTCAGTTTTGTCCATTCATTGGTTTCGCTTAACGTTTGAATGTCACGTAAAGTATTTCCGTTCTAGAAGACTATTGGTTTTAAGGTCTTGACTGTGATTTTATTTCACTTCTGGTTTTCAAATTAATCATGGCTTTCTTGTACATGTTTTTACCAGTAAAAATAATTTTAGGCTAATTAATTTATATTCAAAACTTTTGTTACCTCTCAAGTCGAATTTCTATGTTGTATTTGATTTGTTCTAATCTACTTTGCCCGATACAAAATAACCTCTACACAGTGGTTGCTATTTTGTTTGCCAATGTTACACATAAAATTTTTAATTTGAATCTATCATTTAAAGTTGTTATATAGGAAGGGTTGATGATGAATGATGAACCAGGTTTTTGATCTTCAAAGAGAATGGACAAAATTCTAACCGATAGATGAAGTTCAATGATGCGACATGATCAAGGAATATCTACTCATGAGACCGGATTAATAGCTCAAAACCTTCAGATAATCTAATGCAGTAGGCTACTGACCAGGAAAATAAGGTTTTATCCTTAATAATAGAACGGAATTATATACAAATTCACGAGAAAATATGCTTGATTAGATGCAAATAGTTGGAGGATATAAATTTCATAGGTCAATAGCTCGCCAGTGAGTTATTTGATACGCTTACATTCTCATACAACTGGGCAACAGAATAAATTTATACCGTATGAATAGTAAGATTAAGTTATAGAAAAATAGAAAAAGAAGAGGAAGTATACGCAGAAGCAGATGAATGAATAAAGTGAACGAGAGAGATATACAATAGAAGAAAAATTTCTTTTAAATGAGTTTCTTTCATTTTCACTAAAATGTAAAAGATGTGTATAGCCGCATCCTCTTTGGTTTTGTTTTGCTTCATGTCTGATAACATCTCCGGTTAATAAATCGCACTACCCCCGGTCTCAACCAGTGAGTTGTGATAAATCGACTTATGACGATCCTATACTGCTTTCATTCCATCTCTCCACTTTTTCCAACCAGTTCCAGAGTCGGAAATTATTTCTTAGTGTGGAATTCGCTTATATGAAATTCCTCCAAACCACTGGAGCCAGTGTATAAAAATAGTGAGCTATCGTCACTGCCTTCGAGCATACAATATCGAACCTCAGCGCTATTAAAATTGTGTTGTCACTGGACATCAACAATTCATAGAAAACACAACGTTGATCCAACACAAAGTTGCTTGAGATCGTCAACTTTGAGTTCCTAGGCTTCATACGCCTAGAGTAGAACTGCTCTCACTGACGCGTGGTATGAAAGAAAGCTGCAAAGGGCTAGCTTCTGTTGGTCCTTCACGACTCCCTGGCTGGGGTCCTAGAGATGGTGTAACGCAGTGGCTAGAGACGTTATCAGATATGGCTCAGAATAGAAGCCAGTGGCGATCCTGCTGTAACCTTCTTTTACTTTCTTCATAAAAAGTGGTTGTATCTTCCTTAACTGAAAGATTTCTTCTCATTGTACCTTTCCGTTTTCCCCATCATTGTTCTATCCATCTTTTTTTTAATTCCCCACGTTCATTACTTTATATATATATTTATATATATTCTCCTTCTCTTCAAATTATCATTGTTTCGTGTGGCGCATATATATTTGGTGCCCCCCCCTGTACCAATATTTATGTGTTCAAATAAATAAATAAATACTCACTGACGCGTCATTGACCTGACCTTTCACACCCAGGACAGTAATTCTACTAAATATTGTCATTTTATTTTATTTGTGTATGACGTATATATATTTGGTGCCTCCTTGTACCAATATTTATGTGTTCAAATAAATAAATAAATTTCACACTTAGATTACCACGACAGTTCGAAAAATGGTCCAGATTAGCATAATTCCCGTCAGACGTAGGTCAATTTCATCAGTCACGTTACCATTAACACTCGCAAATACCCAGGTACACAAACTTCGCGTGTGCTCCTAATATTTCACCACAAAAAATGAGTGGCGGTACAGGCTCCTTCCAGTTTTGCAGAAGCGATTTGCATTTAAAATGTGCAATGTATGATATTCCTACCTACATACAGTGGATTAGTCAAGTTTCCGGATTGCTTTCAATAGTTTTTTTAAAATCTCAGTGGGTGTTGAGCTGACACATTTTTTCAATAGTAATGTAAAATTACTCTGGAATTTCATTTTATTTTATGCAGCATTAAATGGATATAACATCTTCACAGCTTTTAACCCATATATATGCTAAGTTCATCTCAGTTGTTGTCATTTTATATCTTTAAGTTGAAATGCCGATGATATGATTTTGATTATCTTGTTATCACATTTTTGTGGATCATCTCAATTTCTATAATACTCAGTGTTATCTCACCCGAGAGGAATAGTTTTCTCGTCACTGTTTTACTTTCTTTTAATGCTACTATTGTCGTCTTTACATATTCCATGTGACCGATAAATTTGCTTGAAATTGTAATTTGTATTTTAGGATCATGATTGGGGCCTTTGACAGAACTGGGGAATTTCGAGCATGTACTCAATCACTTCATGATCGACTGCTTTCTGGTCGTCTACGCCTCAAGCCCCCTCACCCTAAGTACTTGCACTCACTTAATAATACTTACACTGCTAATCTCATAGCTAAGTCGAAGCAAATGTCTGAGGAACTGAAAATGACTGTTTCAAAGATGACTAAATTGAAAATTTTGTTTCAGGAACCATCACATTCATCCCCTGAAGTCCTTAGTAAACTGATTGAAATAATACAATATGATATAATGGATTTAAACAAGACTAAACTTCAATTAAAAGCCAGTGTATCCGAAGTTAAAGAGCATTCAACTGCTGGTGTTCAGCACCTAAAACACATAGATCTTATTGTTATCGGACTAGAATATCATCTCTCGTTTCTTGTCTCTGAGTTTCGTGTTGTATTGGAGGAACATAAAACTTCTCTTTCGGTGGACTCTAGAAAGTCAGACGCTAATATTCAGATGAATAATGATCTAAATCCATTGACAGAATATGCTTCATACTCAAGGATTATGAAAACTAATAAACCCTCTCCAATCAACCCTACTTCAGACAATTCTATTCCGAACACCCACCCTATAAATGACCAGTTACAAGGAAAGCAGAATCAACAATATTCAAGTAATCCTTCAAATCCCACTATATCACTCTTAGCACCTGTACCTAACTCATATTCAACTTCAAGCTTACCATCTGTAATGCCCATCTCAAAATTAAGTGGCACTCCTATAGTTAATCGATCTGAGGTTTATAATTCATCTCAGGTGAGTAGATCATATATATATATATATATATATATATATATATATATATATATATATATATATATATATATATATATACCGAATATGCTATTACCGAAAAATAGTTGAATACTATAATATGTATAATCACTCAGTTGGTAAATACTTTTTTTGACTACAGTTAAGCATTCACGCGCGAGACCGGAGGTCCTGGGTTTCAACCCCGTGTGTGGGGTCGTGAATGCTCACTGCTGAGGAGTCTCATACTAGAACAAAACGGCCGTCCAGTGCTCCCAGGTTTTCAATTTTAGTCTAACATTTCGATTCGTGATATCAATCACAATTTTTATTAGTTAGAGTAATTTTACAGTTTTCTGTTAATTTACCATTCTAAATGTTTGCTTTTCATTTGACAGTGTGTATGAGTTTCTTTATTGTATATTCTATTCATTATAAATAAAATGTCCTTCTTGTAATTTCTTTATTAGGCGGAAACAACTAGTCGAACACCGGAACAACTTCAAATATTCGCTAGTAATCCGCATGTTTCTCTTATTGACCAGGAAGTTCGTCAACGTGATGCTGCAATTCGACGAGTGGAATCAACTATTGTTCAACTTGGAGAGATTTACCAACAATTTTCTACTTTAGTGCAAGAACAAAATGATTTAGTTTTACGAATAGATAGTCAAACAGATAATGTGGAAATGAATATCAGTGAGGCTCATGAACAATTACTAGTGTTTATGCGGCGAATATCTGCACAAAGAGGATTATTAATTAAAGCTTTCATAACTCTTATTTTATGTTTTGTAGTATTTGCATGGATAGTGAAATAAATTTGCTCAGTATTTTTGAAAACTATATCAATCCAGTCTTTCAATAGTATTGATTTATTAAATTGTTGAGTGTTTTATCTTCCTAATTTACTTCTAATTGACTAACAAAATCTGTTATTACTTCTCCATGTTTTTATCTCTTTTGTTACGCGTCATTGAATTCTTGACCAGTTTTGTACATTGTTAGTTTTTGCGAAAAAAAGAAATATTAAAGAAAAATAAGTATTCTTATTTCTAATTATCATTTTCAAGGTGGTTTCTCAGTTTTGGATATTTTCACAGATGTCTGAATGTGCAATGGTTCTTGATTCTGTTGATTCCTGCGAAAAATGTCCTACTAATGAAAGTATCCGTTTGCCTTCAAAACGTCATTATCGTCAAAGAGCTCATTGTAATCCCTGGTCAGATCATACACTTGATTATCCTTTAAAACCGGAATTGATGGATTGGGAGAAGCTATTTGGAGGAGACCCAGCATCTTCATTGTCTGTGAACAACAACTCTTTTGATCCTGTCGTTCGATTTCTGGATGTGGGTTGCGGCTATGGTGGATTGTTGTTTAATTTATCTACTTCTTATCCATTTACCCGGAGTGTAGGCTTAGAAATACGTTTGAAAGTTTGTGACTTTGTTCAAGTAGGTTGACTTCATTAGTTTCTGCATTTATGTATGTAAAAATTTACTATAAGTTCCAATTTTCCTCTCAATCGAATTCACTATCTAAATAAAGAGAAAAAATTCTGTGGATTACCAGTTTATTTATATTTTGAAAAAAGGTATTCATTTTCTGTGGAAACGGTTTGACACGAGATATGTGTGTTGGTTTAGCTTCTCTTAAACGTCATTAGGAAATGTGATTTTACCAGAGAATTATAAACTTGTGGTGACTTGATGTGTTGTAAAGTGAAAAAATTTTATGTTTCAAAATAAAATTAATAAAGTTTTGAAATATCGTTGAAGATACTGAAATGTCAGATGAGCTTTTAGAGAAAAAGTGATATGGTCTTGTTACGTTTTTCAACTGTTCATTTAAAAAAAAATTCAAGTTTACTACTTACGTAGAGATTAATTAAATGCATTAAGGGTAGATAACATTTATTTACACTAATGAGCTTGGATTTAAAAAAATCTAAGTTAAATGGACCCATGTTTTTTCAAAAAAGTGTTTTGATTCCGTCGTATAGATAAATATCACTGAAGTGGCGTTGAACTGTTCACTTTTGAGACGATACACAGTTGATGTGTTCTTTAAGTTGCCATATACTTGATTACATGTTGTGAATAAAGTAATTTAGATTACTGTTCTATATCTGTAGACCAACTTTTATTACTATATTGTCCTTTACTTGTACATAAGTTCTAACCTAATCATTTGATTGTGATTTATGTTACTTTTCTATCGTGTTGCAATTTGTGAAATGTACTTGCATTACATGTAAATGTGGCATTTCATCTTTCACACTGTTTTGCAAAACAGATGCAAAGGTTATCAACCCCCATTTATTTGATAACGTGTGTAGAGTACAATTTTTGAACTTAGTATACTACCTGTAACTATGGATCGCTAGCCTTATGTTGTCTACTTGCAATAATTGTGTTATCGAGGATTCTGAACTCAAACTGATTACTTCCTTTAAAAAAGGTAAACTAATTTATGTAAAACAACTGTCTAGATATTTTCCTATTACATCGTACATTTACATTCAAAGTATTTATTAATTAGCACCAAAGGTAATACTGGTATTTTAAAGTACAGTTTTAGAATAGTTGATATCAGGCGATTACCTGTTAAGTTTCCTTTATTAATAATTCTACTTGGTAACCAAGTACAGAATTTTGAAGTCACTTTAAAGTAAGATGTAATGTAGGGAGACCTGATGATAGTTTAATGACTATCTGAACCAACTATTGATTTTGTTTCAATAAAACTGCTTTTCATATTTATTAATCTAGGTAGACAGTTGTTGTCAATATGGTCAAGAATCTGAACACATTTTATTTCATACCCCCCACTTACGTAAACACTTACTGTCTTGATATGAATTCACAAATTAATACATCAAATGACCATCACCAAAGTGTTGCATCTTTATATCCTTGTACTATGAAATTACTTCACAAGCACAATAATTTATGTTAATTTTAGGTCTATACTCATTATTGTGTCCAAAAATTATTTTAAAACGGTCTTTTATTTTTTCCAACAGGAGAAAATTAAAGCATTGCGTGGGAAGCATTCTGGTCAGTATAATAATATAGCTTGTATTCGTACAAATGCGATGAAGTTTTTGCCGAACTTTTTTCATAAAGTAAGTTTTATTACTTATATATAACACATGTATCTAGTACCACAGTTATAAACACTATAATATTGTAAGGTTAGCGTTAATTTGGTACTAATTGTCAACTGAATTTCTCGCTGACTTCGAGTTGTTTTCTGTAAACTTACTAATTATCACTCAAACAATCCATAGTTTTGTTAAAAATACAAAGTAACTTATGTTAGCATCACACCTTCCACTGTTTAACCATTTCGTTTTGAAATTCACATAACGTGCTTACAATTATTGTCAACCCATGTGTAGAAACAACCATTCAGGTTTAAAATTAATGAATCGTGTTGTGTTTCACTATTTATCGAGTATACTGAAATTCGAGTCACATTTATTTGCCTAAAGGGCTAGAAATTACCATTTGATCAGACAAACTGAAACAGTTGAAACAGATTTCAAACCGACCACCCTTGTGATTGGAAGCTAAGTTTTCAAGCTGTTAAGATACCGGTCTATAATATGACTTGTTTTACTCTTCTCATCTTCACATTTATTTGTTTTAATTGATTAATACATTAGTATGTCACTTTTTTGTTTTTAAATACAGGAACAATTACATAAAATATTCTTTCTTTATCCAGACCCTCATTTTAAACGTGTTAAGCATAAATGGCGCATTATTTCTCCTACTTTATTGGATATATACGCTTATCTGTTGACTCCTGGGGGAAAAATATATTCGACCACTGATGTACCTGATCTTGGTAAATGGATTGTAGATTGTTTATGTGCACATCCACTTTTCCGTCCAGTTTGTCATGTTCATCTCAGTCCAGCAGGTGAGAAAATACAAGGTGACAATGAACTACTAAAGATATCTTCTTATCCAGATATATTCGAAGAAAATTCACATTTTGTCAAAGATTTCGAATCCTTTCAGATACTTAAAGAATCAGACCCGGTATTGAAATTATTGGAACAAGGTTGTACAGAAGAAGCTCACAAAGCCTGTAGAGAAGGTCGGGAAACATTTCTAATTGTATACGAACGTATCCCTAACCCTTAAGTGTATATAAATGACCGTTCTTCTTACTCTAATAAAGTGTATCATTACCAGACAGTTTTAATCGCTCTTGAACAACAGAAGTCCTCAGTTCATTTTTTAATATCAATAGGCGAGGGTTTCATCAAAAATATTCTTGATACAAATTGTATTTGCCTGTTGTGTAAAACAGTCGGCATCCGTAAGTATGTATATATTTTCATCCACTTAGTGTTAACAACTAAGACTGAAGTTGAGTAATTCCAAACGAATCGGAATATTTTTGTTATCTATAGCCACTAATGAGTTTAGACCAAGAATCAACCGAATATTCTATACACTGACACGCCAGTTACATGACTGAGCGATGTTATATTTTGTGACGCGCGGGTTGGAGGGCAGCGAGGAGAGGGGTAGCGAATTATCGATCGGACCAAAGACGCATAAAACACGTAAGAACAACCTAGACTTCTGATTGGCCCTGCTTCCCTGTCTAGCCCAGCCAGTTGAGTCTAGAACGCAAGTCTCAGACTCTGTGATATGAATCATTATATTTCAGACATACTCTGTTTATATACCAAACAAACAGACTACATCGTACCATAAAATACAAAGTAACATTTGTACAAGATTTGACCTCCAGGAAATGACACAAATAAATATTGACCAACGGGAAAATGACACGTTGGAAGTATATTGACCAATGGGGAAATGACACCATTTCTCATTCAGGAATAGCATTAGATAATTTCTGAGGTATTTTCTGAATACCCCAACAAGTGATGACCTCAGTGGTAGCCTAAATGCAACTTGTCTAAAGTGTTGCGACCCAATCCTTTTGGCACGATCAGAGACACAATATGAGTGATTTTCATAATCTTTCTCACATTGCGCTACTTAGATAACGGTATATGATTAAATTGGATACCTTCTAGATGACAAGGTATGAGGGGGAAGCATCTGTAGCGATATGTTTTGTTGAGAAAGCCTTTCCAAATTTTATAAATGGCTGTATGAAGTCTAGTATCGATGACTAAAGGGAAATCTTTCTGCAGAGATCCATTTGCGCTTCAACCGTATAGTGAAGGAAGATGACAGACTAGTACAAACCTGTGAGGCCATATCTGACTTCTGCATTGCTAGTTGTGATGATGCTGGTTACATTGTGTGCCTCACTATGCATATCTCTACTCAATAACTCCCTCTAACTGACCGTTTTGATCGGCAACACGTTTGCTTTAAATGAATCTTGTCTAATATTACTTCATGTCCTGATGTATTTAAGTCGTGTTTCAACTCATGCCCATCAATAACAAGAAGTCAGTGTTCAGAAGTGGGTCTTGTATCGGTATTCGAGTCCCTTTGGCCCAATTTACCATAAAAGTAGTGAGAAAGATGCTTAGCAGAAGCTCATACAACCATCTTCATGTAATCATTCTGTCTGAGAATGGTTGTAGAGGTGTTCACGATTTCCATGAGCCGCAACTGACCACCAGAAAACATGCTACAAGGGGTCTAGAAATGGTTGTTAATACAAACTATATCTTTACTTTTTACTAATGTTCCTTTTACCCTTTTTAAGCTACAATCAGCGTAGACTGGAACTTAAAGTGGACAACAGACAAAAAAGCTCCATAAATCCTGTTTCGATATGGATGAACAAACAGGTGGTTTCGACACTTAAACTTTCTTGATAAAGCCTTTACAGTAAAGGCTTCACTGGTAACTTTGTAGCGTGTTTTTTTGTCCATTGTTTTCTCTAAACTGTTCTTAAGAGAACTAGTGAACCGTTTTTTGTAATCTGGTCTATGGGATAGTTCTTTAATCGTAGAAATGT